TATGAACATTTGAAAACAGAGCTTTCAGGGATGCGCGGCGCCCTCTGCTGCTGACAATGTGAAGATGGCGAGAAGAGAGCTTTACCAGTCGAGTGCAAGCAGAAAACTGATAGCGGTAAAGTTACCTTCGGTAAGTTCAATGAACCAACTGGGAAACTGGGAGGGGCTGAGCTTACTAAAATATTTACAGCTGGCGCTAGCTTTGAAAAATGTATAGTTGTCAGTAGGGTCAGATTGTAGATAGTCTTATAAAATGCTGACTTTTCTTCATTATTTTTTACGAGACTATAAAGTTGGATTGCTATCGAAAGAATTAACGCTTGCCAAGTCCATTTCTTACGTCCGCTAAATTACTAAAAGTTTCATTCATCACGATAGTTGATCGGATAAAATTATTCTTGGATGCAAACACGCGTGTCAAGACGTGACGAGAGCTCGCTGAGGTCCGATTGTACGTGACGACTCGGTCAACTGAATCCACCCATATATGCGCTCGATAAATATTCGTTCACGTAGTTTGGCATTTCGGAGCGCGCCGCCGCACGACGAGGGGACAAACTCACTCCCGATCCTCTCAACGTCACACCTTGCGTTAACCGAGTTACTCTCACCGCGAAATGGAATGTTTACTCGGGAAATTCGCCCTCGCGTATTCCGTTGCGTTTGGTTTTTCAATAGTTTGCGAGCTTTGCTTCTTTGTTATAACTTCGCCTTGAATTGCAAGTAACGGGCGTTAAGTTATTGAGTAACTCGACATTCAACGTCGGAATATCATGAAGCAAAGTATCGTTCTTTTCTTAGGTAGATTTTATTGCAAGGCGGCCCCTCCCCCCTCTCTGTCGCTTTCTCAGGACAAAGTTAATGCGGTAGCATCAAGGGCTCTGATTTATAAGCTTACTTTCTTCAATTTTCCATTCGGAGAAAAAACGTGCAACAAGGAAAAGGCAATTAAACGAGAAGCGGACATTAAAAAAAGGTTGGTTATTATTTCTTTCCTATTTTTGCTATTCTCCTTTTGTCCTTCTCTTTCTCCGGCTGTATTCCATTGGGCTCTCAATTTAATACGTGGCCCGGTTACGCGACAGCGACGAGGTTTTCATTGTGAGTAACTGGTGTAGATCCTTTATATAAATGAATTATAGAGCCGGCACGTTCAGCGATTCTACCGTAATCTTCGGATTACAAGCCAGCGCTGCTCGTCGCATCTCGTCGTCTTCGTCCCCGAAAAGAAAGCTGCGCAAAAGCAGTTGCAGCGCTATACGTCACACTGCCATCCGTTCGCTATTTTTCCGCGTATGCTAGCAGGATTCGTTTTTTCAGTATTTATTGGTTCTGCGCTCAATGTAGCTTAATGCACGGCTATATTGCCAAGTATAAGCCGCTGTACGATTTGTCGGCTAATTGAGCTGGATATATATATATCAGTCGATAACTAGTTGTTTTCCCATTATTTTAAAGCTTGCCGATATTACTTTTTCAACATTGTCGCATTCTATTCGTTGCATGCTCTCAAATGGATTCGATTAAAATTGCTTTCATTTTCACGGATAGGTTTTTTTCATAACATCAAAGTGAGAGGGATTGGAAACTTTTCATTTAAAGTGATATTATCTGTCTGTCATTTTACGTTTTTTTCATAATAGTAGATAGACTGGTGCGTTTAAATTGATTTCAAACTATAAATAATAAAATATGAAGGTCTCAATAAATATTCCATATGAAGGAGTTATAAATCTGAATAATTAGAAATATATTTTTACCGAGTTAAATTATCAGCCAGCCTACATCGAAAAATAATTGAAGTAGCCATATGACTTTCTTAATGTACAAGTAAACGCGAAATGAAAGACTGCTGTTTTGGTAAAGTCTTGAAAAATGTACAAAACTCAGTCAGCTTGAAAGAGTGATAATTTCAAAGATGATAACTCGTACAAATGCAGATTTACTTGACGACGACATCGACTTTAGAGGCTTTGCCATTACACTTTCACGGTCTTATCGCGTCAAAACGAAAAGAAAATATCAGTTGCACAACGAAACGAAAGAGTTGGCTCTTCTCCTTCTGCCTCTCGCTCACGATCGAGTACGTTTTGCTCGTGCCGCGGCAGCCCTTCTTTTGTGCCGAGACATAAAGCCGCACACCCCATTTACTCGCCGTCTCCTTTTCCTGCAAGCGCGCGTTGCACTATGTAAACGCGACGTCGTCTTTTATTATTATTATTATTATTATTATTATTATTATTATTATTATTATTATTATTATTATTATTATTATTATTTGTTCACAATCGCCACCTGCATGCGTTCGCGCAATATCTTTCTGCGTGAATTTTCAATTTTCCCGAGAGAGGCTCGTTCGAAGCGCAATTGTAATTGTATGCTGTGCATTTCATCCGTCGTGCATGTGCGTGCAGCCCGTGCTCACGATGAGCGGATAACTCCCTCTCTCTGAAATTGAAGTGGAAGGCTTGGATTTTTTTTTACGCTCACTTGGAAGAAAATATTTTAATTAATGCCCAAGCCCGGCTCATTGAAACAGAGAACAAAGAACTTGCAAGCTTTTATTTGGGCATTCTTTCCAATGGAATGTGACTTAAAATCTGCTTACACTTGTCGGAGCTTTCGTTCAAGTTTTTGTCTGATTTTAATCAGATTTCGCAAATGAAAAAAATGTAATGCTACTTTTGCTAAGTGATCATCTTTAAAATTGCGCATCGATAGTCTGCGAAAGTCTTTCAAGATTATAAGATAATCTTTTAAAAAGTCTCCATTGTATTTTACTGCATTGTTTCATGTTAGAAATGAAAATGGCTCATTTAAGAAAAAAGGCTTTATTGATTTTACACTTTATTTTTTAGCTTTTGAAAAGAATAATATAAAATATTGCAGCTTGCTTTGAAATGACTTCATCGATTAAGTGTTCACAAGAATTTTCGGGCAACAGCATCACTTTGCAAAATTTGTTTCATTGAATCTTCAATAACCTCGACCGATGGCGGTTCACCAACAATTGAAAAATTTGCAATGAGCGCATCGCCAATAGTATGGCGTGGACGTAATTCATCGGTCCAGCAGGACAATTGAAATTCTCCCCTTTTTCCCTTCACGATCGAGGGACAAAAAGCTGCTTCGCATCGCTTTCATCTCCGCAAATAAATATTAATCGTTCGTTTTATAAAACCGGGGAATTCGCTGGACGCATTGTTCTATCCCCCGCGCAATAATGCCACGCGTGTGGTTTGTGCGCGTCCCGTTTTTTTTCTTTTTTCTTTTTCTGATTTAGCGAAAAAAATTTCGTTCTACAATCGTGCGCGAACCAGCATTAACGCTCTTTGATGTATCTCTCCCTCTTTTCAATCTCGTCGCGCGACCCGCTCTTTTCTCCCTTTTATCGCACAACAGCCTGTCGCCTCCTCCCTCTCTGTCTGTCTGCCTGTCTGTCTCTCTCTCTCTCTCTCTCTCTCTCTCTCTCTCTCTCTCTCTCTCTCTCTCTCTCTCTTCTCAGGAGAGTAGCTATCCGACAGACAGAGAATGGATTCATTTCGAACAAGATTATACAAGTCCCCGAGCTTTTAGACTGCTAGGTTTTTCTTACGCCCAGGAAGACAACTTTAACCAGAGAACTGAAATCAATCGTGCCGCTTTTGCTCGGTCTCCCGTGTAATTGATACATTTGGAAAACAAAAAAAATCTGAGCAGCTTATTTTTCATTACATCTAGAATCGAGCAATCGACGAGAAAACAGTTCGCAGGTGGCATCTTCTGATACAGCCAGGCCTCAAGTATTCTCTAGTACTTTCCCTCTTGAATCTAATACAATTGTAAGAGTTCTCGTGTGTGCAACTGTTCTCTCTCTTTCGCTCGTAGTGGCCATTATGGGAAGGCCCCAGTTTCGAGCGCACTCTGCCATATTAATGGTTATTCGCGCGGAATGCGCCGCTCCTTCCGCCGCCGCGTTGCTGGCTAATGTCGCGATGAAAGCTTCGGGCGGGCAACGGCGCGCACACTCCATGAGCTTCGTAACGCGACGGATTATCTTCACTGCGCCTCTTCCCGGCCTGCTCTAGTCTTCCCGTTTTTATGGCGCTTCTTCGCTAACTTCTCCTTTCCCAGTTACGATTTTACGAATTAAATACTCCAAAGTTTTGTTCACTTGGTCTCAGAGTTGCGCGCCGATTCAGCAGGCTAGAGGCGGGTTCCATAGGCTTTAGCAGGACAAAAGAAATGTTTTCTAATTAAAAAAGATTCGAGTTTTTGTTTCGCTGCAGCTGCTCGAACATTGGAAATGTCGAGGTACAGGTAGAAGACATTGAACAAGAAAGAACAAAAAAAGACTAGGAGCCTCGGGTTGCGTTGAATTTCCAACAGCAGTAACGCCTGAAAGTCAAACTGAACAAAGGCCTTTCAAAGTCTTGTGCTTTAGCGTAAATGCATTTGATCAATTCGTGCAGGTCGAAAAGTTCATTTAAGACTCGTGTGATGTACAACTAGAAAGCGTAGGCTATAGCGTACGCGAGGATAGAGCTGTATAGTTAAAACGTTCTACTTGCGCTTCTCGACGGACGAAGCTCTAAGAATTAATTATAGCCCTGATGCTGCTGCCGCGGCAGCAGGTCCCCTTTGTCGGTGTAATTACATCGCGTACGTGTTACGTATTTTGCTTTGCCGTAATAGCAGGAACTTGTGCAGTTTTCGAGAGGAGAAATTTGAAACCGATTAGAATCTTATTAATCAAGCTGAGTTATTGACACGCTCAACAGATTAACTGCGTCGAGACTGGGGAGTCTTTTGGAGAGTTGCGCGCACGAGGCTCCACTCTCTAAACCCCGATTATAATTAATTCGTTCATTTATTAAGCGAGATTAAACTGCGCGCGGCACTTGCCCCCGAGCCAAAGAGGATTTACGAGGGATGCTTTGGGAGAAAAGCTATTGCTGGGATGAAAAGTACTGAAAAAGAGAGATTTATAGAGAGTCAAAGAAAAACATTCTGTTTACCATCACTGCTTTTATTATCGAGATTCCTATATTGATTTCTTTTTTATGCCTTATACCCTTCTCCACGTTCGGCTAACTATGTACACAAATCGTTCGTTCGTTTGATTTTTCTTTCCTTTTTTCATTATTTATTTATTTATGTATTTATTTTTTTGAATCGGATGCACTGCTCCGTGGGCTTACAACACCTTAAACTCGTAGTCTAACTTTATTCGTTATGACTGGCTTGGCAGGAATAGATTACATCGCCGGACTTTCACGGATAGCCCGCTTATCGTATAACCGTAACAATTTAATTTTTATTTTCGAATTCATAATACCAACTACGTCTAACTGTACATACTTATATTCTCTTTGTTCGTCGCGCATTAAATACGTACAAAAACTTGAACTTTTATTATTATTATTTTATACAATAAAAAACCGACGTTATAAGCTCGAGGCAGCTTCACAACGACTGCCTCAACAAATCAGTCTTGAATTTATCCACAATGAAAGTAGATGTAATCACGCACGCGTATCGCACACTTGCACAATGTAAATACATGCTCTCGCACACAGGATAATATCATTGTCAGTTTTCCACTAGCACACGAGCACATTAGGCAAACAAGTCCGTTGCGCCGACGTTTTTGAGCTCGATGTCGGTATCGGGGGCCTTATGCTACGAGTTGAGCGGCGTATTGCCGATAAAGCTCGGGCACGACGAGTTATCCAGTCGATCGCCACTCTGCAGCGAGAAGTGCCGGTAAGACAAGTACTCGGGTGGATTTGGCGCCAAGGGCTGCTCGCGCTTGGCCGCCGCGCGTTGCTTCTTCATCTTCAGATAGCCGAGCACGGAAATCAACACGACGAACACTACAAAGCCCATGCAGCTGCCAACGATTAGACCGAGTCGTCGAGTGAGAATATTGGCGATGCCACTGCGATCGGCGATACTTCCTTCTCCAACAATGGCATTTGGCGAGTCGAGAGTTCGTACCTCGGTGCAACGACTCATGGGAGAGTTCAACATTACGGGGTGTGCCGGACCCTCGATCAACTCGTCGGTAGAGCTGTTGGAATTCAGATTCTCTGGAATGGGAGTTCCCCAGCTACCCAGACCTAGAACACAAATCCGGTAACGGGTGTCTGGGTTGAGTTTACCCAGACGCACTGAGCGAGACTTGGGATCGAGCAGCTTGCCTCGAACCTGTGAAACATGTTATTAAAAATTTTCTGTTATTCGTTTACGTCTTCCTTCGATTGGTTTAGATAGTCAGACACTAGTAGAGACATAACTCATACCAAACAAAAACATTGAATCATTCAAGCATTAGTACTTCAAGGATAAATAATAATACAATCTTTCAATTTAACATAGCTAATCTAAAAACACATAAGCAGAGAAACTTACTTCGTTGACGTTGGTGTTGAGAGTATGATATGCTACTTGATATCCGTGCAAGCCAGAGTGATTCCTACTCTGCCAGGAAACGAGTACGGAGAATGGCTGAATGTCTTGTATGGCGAGCTTCAGTACTAATGGTGAAGAGCAGAAAGCATGTGGATCGAGATCCAGAAAGACGAGGCCCCTCAGTTCGGGAGGTTGTTCGCAGCGAAGCAGTCCCCCCTCTACTTCGTTCATACCAACTCGTCTGTCACGGCTCACACCGCCCACAAGTTTCTGGTGATCGCGCAACCACTCCCACAGTTCTTGGGATTCGCATCCACAATTTAGCGGATTTTCTACAAATTAGAAAAAATTGATAGGCATTAGTATGCAGAATGATGAAATATTTTTAAACAATTTTACAATGAAATGAAAAATACTTGAAAAATCTATCGTAGATATTGAATGTGTAGCAGAGAAGCGTTTGATAGAGATGATGGACACTTACCCTCTGCTCGCAGACTCCTTATTTGTGTTTCAAGCGGTCGAAAAGCATTGAGAGGTAAGTTCTCTAAATAATTTCTGCTAAGGTCCAATAGCCTCAGTTTTTTCAATGGTCGGAAAGCCTCACTAGATATTGTGTTTATCCAGTTGCCGTATAGATGCAATTCTACCAAGTTGACCAGATTCTTGAACGTAACTTTGCCTACGACGCCAATTTGATTAAATGAAAGGTCAAGTATTTGCAAAGTTTTGAGATCTTCTGGAAACTCTTCAAGTTCCTTGAGCCTATTGTGCGTGAGGTTGAGTATTCGAAGATGTTGTAAGCCTTTCAATCTCTCCTGCGGCAGAATATCCAGACTATTCATGCCCAAGTGAAGAGTAAGTAAATTCGGTAAAGTACGGAAGGCGCCAGGTGAGACCCGAGATATGCTATTCTGGCTAACAAAAAGGTATTGAAGGGCGGGGAAGGCCTCAAAGTCCTGAGATGTGAGAATCGTGAGATTCGTACCGGATATGTGTATCTCCTGAAGCAATGGATACATCGATTCCGAGGGTACCTCGTGTATCCTGCTCAAGGGATTACGTGTCAGATTCAGCCAATTCAGACCAGGTAAATTCTGTCCTGATAGCGCCACTGCCGGTATCTGTCGGAACTTGTTCTCCGAGAGATCGACTTTGCGTAACATCGGCGAATGGGTGAAGAAGTTCACCGGCAGAGCGTTCAAATTGTTGTGGCTCAAATCGACGGAGAAGAGCCTTGAGAGATTGGCTAAGGCGAAACCCGACATCGACTCGATGCGATTATGACTTAAGTCGAGCTCCCGCAGATATTTTAGTCCGGACATACTAGCCACGTCGACAGTGTTGATTTTGTTATACGATAGAGATAGAATTTCTAGATTTTTAGCACTCGTGAGAGCTGAATAAGGAATGCCGATAAGTTTGTTTTGATCGATGCGGAGCTCACGAAGAGACAGTAAATTGTCAAAAACACCCGGTGGCAAAGTTCGCAAGTGATTGTAATTCAGGTGGATTTTAACCAAATTAACGTTCAGTACGAATATACTTTCTGGCATTTGCGAGATGTGCACATTATCGAGCGTGAGTTGTTGCAACGAAGGCAACCCATTGAAACTGTATTCCGATAATTGGCTGAAATTATTGCCGGACGCTGACAAAATTTGTAAACCAGAAATCTGTAATCTTCTTAGTGCTGGAGCCATGAGTTGATTATTTTCAAGATTCAAGTCGATCAATTCGGTTAGGCCTAAAAATGCGCCGTTTTCGATAGAATTAATCGAGCAGTTCTTCAAATTCAACTTTCTAATTGGCAAAGACTCCTGAAAAATGGCATCGTGCAGCAGCTCCAAGTGGTTATTAGCTAAATCCAACACTTTGAGCTTTTTCAATGCCGTTAGTGCGTAAGGGTCGAGTTGCCTCAATCCGTTGTCCTGCAGGTAGAGTTCCTCGAGCTCGTGTAACTCGGAAAAGGTTCTATCAGTCACGTGACTCAGTCTGTTCATGCTGAGCTCGAGAAATTGTAAGGCCTGCATGGGTTCGAATGCTCCGTCATCGATCTTGGATATGGAATTGTTGGTCAAATACAATCGTTCCACGAGCAGCAGGTCACGAAAGACCGATGCTTGCAAATGAGTGAGTCTATTGTGACCTAACCACATGATCCTCACACTAGACTGGCCCCTAAGTGAATTATTGTGCAGCGTTGCTAGGCCGTTACTATCCAACTGAATGGAAACCAGCGAGCTGCTGGGTCCTGGGTACTCAGACGACAGTTGAAACACGTCATCGAGCTCAGCAAGTTGATTGTCTTGAAGGTTTACGTGCTGCAAATTGTACAGAGTACTGAGAGAGCCTGCCTCTATGCTGACGATAGCGTTGTTCTGAAGATGAAGTTCCTGGAGAGATGGTAGAGTAGCAAAGACCCCTCGTTTAACCTCTCCTATTCTGTTGTCTTGGAGCCTTAGTTCGCGTAATCGGTGCAGTCTGGAGAATGTACCGATGTGCAATTCGCGAATCTTGTTACCGTCCATAGACAACGAGGTCAGATTGCCGCATTGATCGAGGAACTCGACAGGCACTCGTTCAATGTAATTGTTTGTCATGTGCAGTTGCTCCAGTTGATAAAGACTCGCAAGTGCGCGGCCGTCTATTCGGCGAATTGCGTTCTGCTGGAAGTAAGCGACGCTCAGGCTTACGCTGCCAATGAAGGCATCGGCCGGTATCTCCAGGATGTTGTTTTCAGCGAGATACAGTTCCCTGAGCTCGGGTAGACCTGCGAATACGCCACCGATGTAATGTATGTGATTGTGACTGAGCTCGATTGTGCGTAGTCGCTCGTTCGCCTTAAAAGTAGCTGCGTCTAAAAAGACGATCTTGTTGTGGCTGAGGTCTATCGACTCTAAATCCTTCAACGATACGAATGCATTCTTGTCGACGTCTTCGATGCTGTTGTAGTAAAGCGAGAGAGTTTGCAAAATAGGACAGGGCCTGAAGCAGTCCTCGGTGAGTTTGTCGAAATTGTTGCTGCTCAAGTCGAGGATCAGAAGCGAGCTCAGGAGGGAGTGGCCGTCGTCGGGTATGGCGGATATCTCGTTCCACGCAAGTCTCAACGAGTCCAAGCTCTCCAGCCTGCGGAGCGAGGTCATGGGAAACAGCTTAAGTTTGTTTTCCGTCAAATCGAGATCCGTCAGGTATTCTTCCAATCCTGCGAAGGCGTATTCGGAGATCTTGCTGATTTGATTGCCCTTCAAGCTCAGCTTCATCAATTTGATTCCGAAGAAGCAGTAGGACGACAGGTCTTGGATGAGGTTCGCCTCGAGGTCCAACGCGGCGAGCTTGTGCAGCTCGGACATTGGCTTCTGGGGGACCTGAGCCAATCGGCCGGAGACCAGGGCGAGTGATTCAAGGCTATCCTTGAGATTTCTGAAGGCTGACTCGGCGATATCTCGCAGCGACGAGTGCGATATCTGCAGGTGGCGGATCTGCGAGCCCGCCGGAAAAGCGCTTCCCCTCAGCTCCTCGATCGTCTTATCCAGCTCGTAGACGCTGAGCGATTGGACTACCGCATCTTCGCCTGGAATAATGCATTACTCGCATTTAGATCGACTGGGATAATGCCGCGAGAAAGACTCTCGACGCTTGATCTCCTGGCTCGCTTGCTCGCTGTTTCAATGAAAAATCACTGCGATAAGATCGAGAGACGAGAATCTTTCGGGACTTTATTCCGGTGGCGTTATACAGCCGCCGAGTTTCGTTTGATATAGTGCTGTACTTCATCGATACGAGAGATTCAGTACTGATATGTATCTTAAGGCATTGTAGAGCCAATGAAAGCTTCATGAGATAACTTTTGACGTTAAACACAGTTTTGGTGGTTCTTGCCATACAGTTTCTCTCTCTCTCTCTCTCTTCCTCCCCCCCCCCCTCCCCCTATCTACCGAATTCATAAAGCCCTAGATACAACAAAGATTTGGGCACCGAAAATCTCATTAGCGATTATATCCACTTGGTTGAAAGTTCAGCTCTTACATGTATGTATATATAAAGTAGAGAGAAGGAAAGCAAGCAAGCCGGGATAAACTTACCAGCGGAGTTCATGACGCCGAGAAGGGTAGAGCGTAGCGTATCCTCGGTAGCGCCGGCGCACTCCAGGAACAAGCCGTCTTCGAAGTTGTAGCATGGGCAGCCGGGGATGAGCTCGGAGGGTGGGCATTCTGCCGCTTGGCCGTGTACGCCGCGTCGCTCGAGCTGCGCGATAACGAGGACGCGGAGGAGGACGAGGAGGATGCGCAGGCAGTTTGTACCCATCTTGCCGCCCGCGGAGCGTGCGCGCGCGTCACTACATCACATCAGACGTCCCAACCTGCAACGGAAAATTGCATTAGCGAACAATGCCGATACGAGTCGGCCGCGCGCGGCCGGTAAATATCCGAGCGGCAGGCACATGGGGCACGCTCGAGAGCTACATTATTCAGCCTATTCAGCCGCGCTTTCTCTCGCGCTCTCCGCCCCGACGATTGGGGGCTGTCGAGAGATTCAATCAAGCTTTCATCGGCTTGACGTGTGCCCCAGCTCTCTCAGTCTCTGCGTCGTTGCAATACGCGCTGCCGCTTGGATATTCAATCTTCATTTCTTGCGGTTATCAGCCAGTGCCGTGTCTACGAGTTATCCAACGCGTTCTACATATCAAACATGAGCGCCTGTCACAGCGTCGAGCCGATCCTCCAATTGGAGAGAAAAAAAATCAGGATGAATTGCCGACGCCCATCGATAACGTAGGAACAGCGTACTTGGAAAACTTGGTTCGGTTTACTGCACGATAGACATTCCGAATGCTTCGATCACAATGAAAATACCGTTAAAAGTTAAGTTTCAATTCGACTTCTTATCTCGGCGCGACATTGATTTTTCGCAGCAAGCGCACCACGTAGAGGATAGCGCAAGTCGAAAGAACGAAAGAGCAGCGAGTCTCCTGTTTTAAAAAGGACTTTAGGCCAGAGTCGTACGGCGCTCGGCAACAAATTCGCCGAGTACGAGCGCACCTTGGCTTGTTTACGCAGGTAACTAAAAAAAAAGCGCGAGTTAAAGGAACGAATTCTTACGCGACTCGTATCTCTAAAGCTCTTTGTCTTCTCGCCGAGGGCCAACGGCGACGAATACGACGACGCTCCAGGAATTCCAACCATTAATAACGAGCGCTTTTCGCACTCTCGAGTTATACCATCGGGGGGATCCACGACTAATTGGCAAAGTGCTTTCCCGTCCGCCAAATGGAAAGCTCTTTTTTATTTACGATCGCTCTGGCTCGCACCGCGCCTCGCCACGTGACCCTTCCGCAAAACGAGCGCTACGTGCCGCCATTCCTTGATAGTCTCTCTTCGCGAGCAATCACTCTTCCTTTACCTCTCTACCACTTGAAGTAAGTTTTTCTTGTCTTTTCAACTTTTCAACGAGCTCAAAGGCCAAATACGCCTTTGATGACACTTCTAGTTTCGCGCGTCACTCGCAAACACCTTTAAATTATTTCGATTACACCGACGGCTTTTCACCGGCGCGATGGCGCGTGCTTTCAGAATAGACGCCGAATGAGATGCTCTTTGACAGTAGAATTATTAATCTGCAATCGAAGAGGTCTAGGCTCCGTTCGCGTCGTCGTTGAGTAATATGCGCGCGACGTCGCCGAGGAATTCGGCCTGTCCCACATACAGCCGTGTGATTTGAATACGAAAGTTTTCTCCGGAGGAAAGCGTCGCGCGACGGATATCCGACCGAAATTCTGAGCTCCCGGAGCTCTTTGGATAATTCTGTTAGTCGCGACTAGCTGCGAAATCAAAGCTGCTGCCGACTGAAGAAGACGCGGAAGAAAAAAGGAAAACTTGTCTACACGCGTCACCGCGGGAAGTGAACGTGGCTGCGGCTCCGAGTTTTCGCATCGAGAGAGAAGGAAAAGAAAAGGAGAAAGAGAAAGCGCAGAAGGGAATTGATTTAACGAGAGACCGTGGATTCTTTTTCGAGCATGACGTCGAGAGCTAGCTAACTCAATACCGGCCGATCATAGTTCTAAACTCAGTTATGAAGTTGCGCCGGCGAGCCTCGTTACACGGCCAATGAGATGTTTATTGCCTCCTGACGCTACTTCTTTCTTTCCCTTTTATCTGCTCGGCTCCCGACTTATTTTGCTCCTCCCAGTTAATTTCACGCTGTTATCCAGGTTGATACTTTGGACCCAATTTTACGAGATTAATGTATTTTTATAACTTTGCGCCGCGAGGCCGAAAGAAAAATTTCTCGAGGATGAACGCGGCGAAAATATGTACGCGAAGCCCGGCAGCAGCGCTCGGCTGCCAGAGTAAGCCCTAGGAAGTTGTGATAAATAGCCGAGAACAGTGTGCTTCTGCCGAGAGTCATTACCGTCTGTTTACTATATTTCATTTTTCTCTGATTTCTCGCTAATAAGATACAAGGTAAAACGCCATTCATCGACGGAACTTTCATTGCGGAGTTTTGACCTGCGAATGCCCCCGACTGAAATTTGGCTTAAGCTCGCAAGTTTACCCGACGAAAAATCCAGCGCGACTAACGCACAAAGAAGCGCACTGCGCGTCTGGCGCACGATAGAGCAGGAGGGGGGGCGATGTGTAGACTTGGCTAGCGCGTGAAAGGGGGCGCCTCTCTTAATGGAGTTATACAAATACGCAGGAGAGTGCGAGAGGGGCTGGGCTGCTTGCGAGCCTGGAATCGAATCATGCGCGCGAGACGATTCTCATTACGGTCTCGCGCCCCTGAATTGCGCGCAGGGGCTGAAAATCCAGCGGCACCAAAGGCCGGGATGTATCGATTCTCTCGCACGAATTTCCGAAAAAGCTCTCTGCATTTCACTCGAGAGAGGGAAACACCGCGCGCAACTTCTAACGATGTTTACCGGATGTCGCGGCGAATGTTTGCGCTGCCTCAATTTGTGTTGCAAAACTACGCCGTGTCTTCGATAAATATTAGCCGCGCCGCGTGCAGCGGCTGCATTGGATTATTTGCTGGAATCGAACGTAGCGCGTATTCATGTAGCTTTCGGCTCGTTCAGTCACTCGACATCATTAGCCAATAGGAGCTGCGACGTTCGCTCTCTCGGCTGCGTCGGTTGGAAATTCGCTCTTTCGCCACTGCCGTTGCGAATTCTTTGCGAACTATTTTCCAAGCGAGGCAGACAGTCCTCGCGAGCGGAATACTTTTTCGTTCGGGAAAGGCGCGTTAAGTTGTTTTTTTTTTTTTTTTTTTTTTCATGTTGAAAAAGCCGCGCTTCCGGGCTCCGCGATACGCGCGACAGAATGACCGGTGGCCGGTGCTGCGTGTTATTGTTTATTCATCGAGCTGACTCGTTCGGCGCGCGTAGCACTGCCTTTTTTTTATCGATTGCGTCGCGCGCAAGTCGATTTTTGCGGTAGCCAACGCGCAAATGCAAGTTTTCGCGGCGTTAATTAGACGCCAGCTAACAAGATTGAGGACCGCTTGATGAAACGAGCGACGACCAAAGATGTATAGAGCGGCCGACTGCAATGAGGACGCGCGCGCCGCGCCCGACAACGGGCTTTGTTTTTCGTTCCTCCCAGTCTGATGATATATGGATGCGTGGCTCTCATGCGAGCCTCTTCGTGTACGAAACTTTTCGCGTAAAATGATTTGCGCAAAATCAAGGGACTGATTGATTTCCACAGTATTATTGTCACTACGCAAGCTCTGGTTTACGTGGTCTGGTCGATGAGCGCTCCATCGTAAGTTGCATTTCCGAGAGAAGAATCTCTTATCCTCGTGTTGGCGCATCGATCCTCATGGAAAACTATCTTATCCGTTTTCTCACTCGCAACCACTCACACTCTTTTTTCTCCCTTTCTTCTTACTCCTTTATCGGATTTTTCGCATTCCTCCTCGACACGCCGTTAGAAGCCTCGTCGTCTATTGTACTTAACGCCTTCCCCGGAACGAGATTTTTTTTTCCCAGTAGTGTTTTTATCACGTTTTTCTATCTCGGTTCGTTTCTTTTTCCAATAACGCCTCCCTCGCTCTCATTTTTATCCTTGTAAAATTCATGCCCCCTAGCAGCGGAATACTTTGCAAACTATCCGTCGAAGCTTTAATCTGCCTGGGCGGAGGAAAGTTTGGCGGCGATGAAATTTGGCGTGTGTGTACGCGTACGTGTGCGAGCGAGCGCGCGCGCTCACACAAAAGGAAACATATTGAAATGCTAGGCGTGCGCATACATAGTTGTCACACTCGACTTTCAGGAAGGTCTGAGAGCAAAGAGAAATCAGCGAGAGCAAGTAGAAGAGAAGTTACGGGGGTTGAGGCATTACACACGAGAGAGCTTTTCCTCGGCGCCGAGCCCGCGATGCGTTCGGTAAAGAGACAAAGGAATTTAGGTTAGCCGCCTGAGGATATGCAGATTGAAGAGGAGGAGGATGAGGAGGAGGAGGCGCGCTCGGGCAGTGCCTGTATAAGGCACTCAGGCAGACTTATATAACTCGCGGAACGAAACTTAGCCATTATTACTGGGCAAAAATCGCACCGACAGTAGCTGCCTGTAATTAACGGCAAACTTGCGGTCCGCCGCCGCGCCGCTCGCTACGAGGCCTGCTGTGAAATCAGTCTAAATTTTCGCAGCCACGCGCTCTCCGTCCCCGATCTTTCAATATTTTAGCGTCGCGTTGTTTACATTCACGCAGCTTAACGCACATCCGCGTATTTAAGCATTAACGCGCGCCCGCGTAAGCTGGACAGAGAGGATTCAGAGCGGACCGGCGCGCGAAAGCCCGCTGAGTGAATTTCCAAAACTATTGACATACACGCGCACGTGCGCACTCACGCGTCCTATATATAAAGCATCCCGGCGCGACTGTATGGTCTATGTGCGAGTGAGCTGCGTGTCAGCAGCAATCGCTTCTTCCTCTCATACCTCTCCTGTGTATACACGCCACTCATACAACTGCGGTACACGTATACGCGATATACAGTAGAACGAAACACAAGACACACGCGCGCGCAAACACTGTTTATTTCGTGTTGCTCGCTCGTCGCTTTATCTCAGCGTTCCCACGACTGCACACCAATGTAAGGGGATTAATCTGCTTTAATCTCATTTTGGAAATGTTTGATTAGTCGAGTGTACTTGCGACAACGTTTTCATTTGTATTTTCATATCTTTACCGTTTTATGCGGAGTACATTTTTTTTTGTAAAAAAAAAGACTGTCAGCGTAAGAGAGTGACATGGATATCAATGGCTCTTGTATAAAACAAAAAATTTCGAATGAACTTTGATTCCCTCTGTATTTATTCACGTAGAAACGCTTTTAACAAATTTTGAATGATTGTATTTTTTTCAAATTTTCCAGTTAAACGAACACGTATCAAATGGCCCATTCAAACGATTTATGTCGTTAACAAATTACTCTTTTTATAAAGAAAAGCAGTATTCTATACACATACATGACTTCCACATTTGAAAAATTTGCAAACGATCAATAACTGTCTTAGCATAAAATGTTTCATTGACATATGCCGAATCGCTACGGGTAAGAGGCCCCTCTTCAATTTCAGAATCCCTGTAAGATATGGCGATGAGAGAGAGAGAGAGAGAGAGAGAGAGAGAGAGAGAGAGAGAGAGAGAAGTACAGAGGCAAGAACGCGTAGCAATAGGAATATAGTTTCTCTCCCTGGAATTATATCCAAACAGAGTATGATTTTCCGACGTCGTCGTCTACGAAAGACCTTCTAAAATATTTTTATTCCCTTGAGGTTTCGGTCGAAAGCTTCCTTCTTCATTTATCCGCAGCTCTGTCTCGCTTTCTCTCTCTCTCTTCCTCTCTTTGACGAGTTTTCCCAAAACTCATCTTTTTTTCCTTCGTTGGCAGTCTTTTCCTTCTTCTCTGCTTGCTTGATTCCGTTTAAATTTTAAATAAGAAAAAAAACTGCAAGATTTTATTTGTGAAAAAATGAGCGAGTTAAGATAGTTTGGAAATTCCACTGAAAAAACGACAAGAAGATGAGCTACTTGAATTCACTTGGCTGAGCGAAAATTAGCAGAAAAAAAAGAGAGAGAGAGAGAGAGGAGACGACGAAGAAGAAGAAGTGGGAGGAAGGATCCTATCGTAGTGCACAAAGGAGACCTCGGGATTACGCAGGAAACGAGCTAGACGAGGACCGAGCAAGCTCCAGTCACTTTCAGCGCGCGCATGACAAAGGACTGGCCGCAAAGAGGTCTTTTTCCACGGCGATGAGAAAAAACGAAGCGCGGGTAAGCCCCCGAGTCTAATCGAAAAGCTAATACCATGGTAATCAGCTGCTTCGTCGCCGTGCGCGCGACATTGAAAATTTACCTTACAGCCTTTGCAGTCTCACTCGCCGGAATTAAAAAGAAAAAATACATTTCCGCTGGTACTTGTAGTTGAGCTCCTTATCTTGCCGAAAACCGAATAAGAATGAAGGCGAGGGATGAACAAAATCTCGATCTCGAAGCAACTAGCATCCCTTTTTTCCCGCCTTTTGCCCCTCCACCCCCCCCCCCCCCCCACCCGCACCTCGTCGTCGGAAGTCATTTTGCCGTACTGCGCGCGTAAAACGATAAGATTTCCAGTCTCCTGTGTTTTGTCCCACACGAAATTCCGCGGTGCTCTCCGCGCTCGCGCCGTTTGATGAAAGCCTTGATTTATCAAGAAACGAGGCCCTCGAGCCGCGCGCAAATGCACACGACAATGCTCGCTGTCGTCAGTACGGCGCCGAGCGGGAGTGTTTATAATGAAAGCGCGCGTGAGATTTGCGTTAATGACGCGTCCTCGGGCGTCTCTTAGGCATTATCTTCGTCCCGTCGAGTGGATATGCAGGTCATGCGACACCTCTCCACGTAATCGCCGGCTGTTCTCGGCCCCCCACTTGCTATAACTGCAATTGCATACGACGCGGCGGCCGAGTTTACTCGCACCCAAGTACATAATATACTCGGCAGCTTTGGTTCAGCGGGCGTTCTTTTTTGGAGCTGCTCTCGCTGATACGAATAGCGGACTTTTATTTTTGTTGCGCTACGAATTGACGAAAGGGAAGAGAAAAAAAAATATTTACATTGGCATCTATTAAAAACAAACTCGAAAATCCGAGACTACAATAACTATGGATATCCGCAATAGTTTGGTCACGGTGGATCCAGTCGGCGTAAAAAGCAGATCTCTTCAAAGCAAATAACCACAAAGGATCAATCGGTAAATGTACACATGCCTCGGGAAATTGCGCAATTTCAATCACAGGCGGACGATCAGTGCTGGCTTTAGTGAGGCACAGGCTCAAAGAGCACAAGTGGTCCTTAATATTACCAGATGGCCCTCAGAGCTTGGTAATTAGCGAATTCCGCACGGGAAATGAAAGCTACGGGACTTTGAGGCTGCGAGCGCGTGCTCAACATGTGCGCGCCACACGCCTCTAACACTTCAGTCATCTGCTTCCGCTCTTGTGAATCTGGAGAAATTCTCTTCTCTCGCGACACCAGTTTCTATTTATTTTTCGCTTTAAAGGGCTTCCTTTGCAAAAAAAAAAAGAAAAAAGAAACAAACGCTATGCCGTAACTGCTGTTTAGTTCCGTTCTAGTGGAAACTTTTTTCTCGGTGCGCAGCGGCAAAAGTATTAAAAGCACCCGCGTAAAAGCTGCGGAAATTGGAAATTTGTGAAGCAAGAGAACGCCAGGTGAATTCTGCGTGCTTGCGCGCGTGTGCTTTTGTCATACCTGCGGCCTACATACGAGAAACGCATTGTTGAGCGAATTCTTGCATTCATGGTTGTATTTTTCAATGCTACTTCAATTGAAAAGACTATGTTTCTCTTTTAATGCAGCTCTAGGAACGAAACAGCAAATAAAATTGTATGAGGGAAAAGAATGAAAACTGGCTTTACATATCTGAAAGTAAAATTGCGCATCGTAGATGGGATTCCGTTCCAAGTCACAAGCCTCCCCTCAATTGTATGAAGACAAATGGGCGAAGCTCCCTCTTGAGAAAGTGCGAGGTTTCTCATCGATAAATAATACTCTCAAGTGCAACAAAGCTCAATGGAGCTTGTCACACTCTATCGGAGTCTGTGCCGTCCAAATCAATTGTTCGGCTATCTTCGCGTCATTGGCCGCAAACAAGAACATCCTGCCATTACTGTCATTGGACGCGCGGTACGAGAGAGAAAGAGAGAGAGAGAGAGAGAGACAGGGTCGATTTCCCGTGAGCAAAGAGACAAAGATACTCTCTTCCCCCTCCCTTTCGCCATTTCTCTCTCCCTTGCGGTAGAAGCCTCCAAATTGGGTCATTAATTCCTCAGCAAGCAATAAATCGTTGCCGCTCTGGTGCGTCACTTACCGCTTCTTCGCAACTTTTTTTCAATTTTTTGTTTTCTTTAATTTTCGTTGTTGTCAAGGGCTTTGGCCTTGAACGTTCGCTCGCGTACGCCTGCTAATGCACCGATCGATTTTTCATGATGCGCTGCTCGAGCAGAGCATGCGTGAGCGTGGGCGATCTGCGTGAATAATTGCAACGAGGCCACAGATGGGTCGACGACGCTGGCTTTTATCCCGTTGACCTTTCGAAACTTCCAGTGGCAAGCGAACGACAATTGCTGTTCGTTTAATTTTAACGCTATAATAAAAATTGAATCGAATGAGAGGGAACGCTTTCCAAGTACGTGTGATTATTCGATACGGCCTACCTCGCTGGAACTCGATACCGCAAGTTTGTCACCGGACTAAGTTGCAAGAGAAATTATTTATTTGTATAAAATAATCTGACGGTATGAACTTGTAATTTTCAATGATCGATCCTTATAGTTGTTACTACAAACAGTGCCGTTTTAGCTTGCCCATTTGAACGTCAAACAACGTCGCCTCAATTGTAAATACTTGGAGCAACTAGGTCATTCTATTTTACTTTCATCAATGAAACTTTACAGTTTGAAATGTGTGCAATACCCAGGAGATTATGGCACGAAGCGGTGCGTAACATTTTGCAATTGATGATAAATGTTAAAGTATTTTTTTTATGACAGCATTTTCAATCGAGGAACCGTAAGTTTGCAACACAGCAAAGCAATAAATAAAGTTCAAGACTGTAGGTCTGCTGAAAGATGAATACGCCCGCGAAATTGAATTGTTGAGCTCAGAGCTGCGTAAGCATAACTTGTGTACTGCGTACAAAACAGTTATCTCGGACAAGAACTTTGGCGAATGAGTTTTCCGACTATTTCCTTCTACTACGAGGAGTTTCCGAAAGGAAGCGTACGCCGAAATATTTTCTACCACGCTCTGACTATCCACGCAATCGAGTTCCTCGTCGATCAATTAATAAACTGCACTTTGGACTGCAGTTATATGCTCATTTTTAGTTTGCACTTATCGAAGCTGAGAAGAAGCAAAGTTTTCGCTTCGACAGAAACTCATCAGCGTTGAATAAGATTGCCTTGACTTTGCAGTCTCAACGCCTTTTCGTCTTGTCGATTTTTGCAGAAACCAATAGTTTACTCGCAAAGAGCCAAAGGCACGGATGATTCACTCTTATCGATTTGTTCGAGTGGAAACCGCCACTCATCGCTTCCCTCCTTTGTCTCTCTCGCAGATCTTGAAATTCATGCGACAGCGCGTATCATGCGTTGCCTCTGACAATATTATTTTCGCACGTTTCAGTTGTGGTTCGCATATTTTGCAGAAATTTTCCGTTGATTAAGTGCATAATTGCCTTTTTGAGGATACGGCAGTTGCCTTTACTCTGACGGATAATGACGTGAAAAAAAGACAAAGAGACAGCGAGACAGAGGGACCTCTTTTTGCTGAACCGTTTGACTAAATGCCATTTTTCGTTTCAAGAACTATTCAGAGAGTCGCCAAAGAAATGAAAAATCCAGCGTAATTAAAACGAAGTAACGCGACGATCTCGATATAATCAAATATTTGATCGTGTCTGACCTAAAGTGAGATATTCTAAAATAAATATAAATCTCACGACAGTTGATTCGGTGACGTTGTCAGCGTAAACATGCGTGTGTCGCACGGTTACGCCCAAACATCGCCGAAGCAAAGCATATACAAACAAATGCGAATGCATGGATATGCATGTACGAACCTCGGTCGAATTTTCCAGGTGAAACCCAGTGAACCGCATGCATTCGGATCTCCGTGCAGACTGACTCGTTATCCCTTCTCTCTAAGTAGCTTGCGAGAGCTGAAACACGAAACGGAACGTGAACATTTGCGTAAGTTGAAGATAAAACGCGTCGCGTCATATATGCGTCTTGAGATATACACAAGGGGATGCACGTCTCTCTCTCTCTCTCTCTCTCTCTCTCTCTTTCTCCCTTTCCAGGGTCATAAATAACGACGACCCCGAGAATAGCCCAAGCTAAATTATAGATTTTTACGTACTCGGCAAGAAAAGAGCTATTCTGCAAAAGTTTGCCGTTGCCGCCGTGAATCATGTATCCTTCGGCCATATAAAGTCAACAAAAGAATGACCCAAGCATTATTATTATCATTGGCGTGCACTGTATAGACTTGACTGCTTAATTCGCCGCTACGTGCCTCCTTACCACCGTTCGATTTCTCTATTCCCACGCGTTGATACACCACAATCATCTATACGTCATTCTCTTCTTTTCCCTTTTGGCTGCCAAGATATGTACGTTTGGAAATATTACTCTGCGGGCTGCCACGCGCGCAGGTGTCGGATCGAGAATGATGTATGGAACTCGCACAAGTCGTAATTTTCTTGAAAACTTGGATAAACTTATGTATTACAGCATCTTTCCTTTCGTGTAAGATGACTTTATAGCTTGTTTCGCTGATCCCGCGCAGACGGACAAGCATATATATCGTCTATTTCGCTGATGCCAAAAGCTGGAGGGTTGGCTATACGCGCCATCGAATGATAACAAAACACTCTGCTCGCTTGTGTGTGCGTGTATGTGTGTGTGTATCAATTAAACCGCAATGAAATTCGAAGAATTTTATGGCTTACATAGCGACGAATATATCGTTCGATTTATTTCTGTTCGATTCGATGGAGTGCTGGCGGAAATGGGCCGACTTATTTTGTAAAAGCCCGTATCCATAGTAATTATTCAAAATGCTGTCAATATTCGCAGTATTGTACTTTGTGAAATCCTTCGAAACGGGCAATTATCGTGTGTTGTTATTGAACGAACATTATTATAGAACGAGTAACCAATGAATCGCGCATGTCGCCATTTTCAGGCGTCGGCTCGCGTTAAACGAAAACAATGAGCGGTAGCGAGGCATCGCTCTAGTTTTCTTTTGGAACGTTAACGAAGCCGCTCGTTATCGATTGCCGCGCCGAAATAATCTCGCTCTCGCAGGCCGTCCCGAAAATCAGCGGCAATCTCACGCCCATGGCAACGAATCTCGTCCCGCGCGCGCCCAGAAATAAGTATATAGACGGTCGACATTGTGCTAGCGCGAGGGGCCATAAAGGTCGCGTGCAGAACTAGTAGCTATACAGCCCCGAAGCTCCATATATCCTCGGCGCATTGTGTACAAAGAAAATAAATTATCGCGCGAGCGCAGCTACCAAGCGCACGTACCGAGACAGAGATATACGTATAATGGGCATGAGCATGTAGTTCATCTCCCTTCTCGCGACTCCCTTTCTCGACGCACGCACACACACATGCGCGCGCGCCCACGGGCAGGAAGTCACCAAAAGTTTCGGCCGTCAGCGCCACGCGACCAGCGCGATCTATTTTTATACCTATCTTGTCGACGCGCGACTGTCGTATCGACGTTCCGTGCAAACGCACACTTACTGTCTCGTCGTAAAAGCTATATTGCTATATAGCCTCGTCTGATGTCATTCTTACGAAGCGGACTTGGATGCAAGAAGGGACCGCGGTTTAGTGCCTGCCTTACTGGTTTATTCTTTATTAGCGCGACGACGGATCATCCGCTGCAGTTTTTGCTTTAATAAACCAGTCCTCCTCGCGTGGCGTCAATTATTGCCACGAGCGCGAAAGCAGCAGCGTATGCTCGCCAAGTCTTCGCCCAGTCCCTTTCCTCTTGCGTTGTCTAGCGAAAAATCGCGCGCTGTAGGCTGCAAATATGCTAATCCTTTTATTTTCGGACGCATATCCTCTCTGGTTTTCGGTTCTTTTACCGCGTCGTTCCGGAGCGCCACCTGCACCATCGGATGGAAATTCGCCGATGAGAAAAAGCTCAACGAAGCGCATCAAATCGCAGCGTTGCCGGCGATTCTCCTATGAATGATCGGCTTCGAATGCAGCTTTCGGTGTGTATCCGTGTGTGCTTGTGAAAAGACTTGACGGAAAGCAAGTCATTCGGGAAATGTAATGGATCGCTGTGCGGCGGCTAGTGGATTGCGCGATTTGCATGATTTCCAAGTGGTTCTCAAGAGCCGAAGTTCGATTGCTTTTCTAGGCTTTTTATCACTTAAATAAATTTGATTGGATCAACCTGCAGCAAGTAGTACAAACGTATGAAAACGAAGTAGCTACGCCCGGCTTCAAAGTACTATTACTAGCGCTGTCTCACGAGCTCACACGCTGACGGTCATTCGATATTGAATATCAATTAACCTCTCTTCCTTTTTGTGGATTCATCAGTGACAGTAGCACGCGATAGTGCGCGCACGTGGAATATTGTACGGACAATTTTTCGATTTCCATTTTCATAAAATTCACGAGATCCCATATTCATTTATGTATCGAGTGCGCGTACTTTTGTTTTTCTCTTTACGGCTCTGTGGTTTCTACATTAAAACGAAACATTTGCAGTCCTACACAGATCAAACACTAATGGAATCGTACAATAAAATTCAATCGGATGAAACAATTGACACGGGAATTCAACGCAGTGTAGCATTGCTTGACAGGTGATGGATGAGCATTGACAAAATAAAAATTTCTTTGGGAATCGCAGTTTAATAAGTGACGAGACTGCTGATCAAAGCGAATCGTCGACCTGCTCGTGCAACGAGTAAAGGGTCACTTGAAAGTGGAGCAGAAGTGAGCGTAGTCCAGAGCTCCAGGTATCTGGAAAATTGGAAGAGCTCCTTGCCTTGCCGACCAATTTGAATTGAAATGCCTTGGTAATGGGACGCCCGTGTTGAAGTTTCGCGATTTTTTTAGCCAACAAGCGACAGATATCTCGCCGTTCCTCTCCCGTCTCTCGCAGTTCGTTCTTGAGAACTCAGGGAACTTTCCTCGTGAGTATTTTTAATTTTCAGATGCCTCGGGACCAAATGCGGGGAAACATGATTGTTTTACCGTGAATACTCGCTGTAAGATATTGATAACTCGGATTTTTTTCTTGAGACGTTAAACTCCTCGCCGAATTGCTGGCTGCGCTTTCGTTTTTTCTACGCCACATTTTATAATTTGTTTTTTTTTTCAGCTCGATTGAACGAGTTGAAGTTAAACTTTGACAGTTTTAAATCGATTAGTGGAATCGATAGACTTTGATATACATTTATTATAGTTATCAATTAAAACGTCAGAAACATAGCTGTTTATACTTGTTTTATCAATTGAAAGTGTACATGTTTTTAAATCGATTACAAAGTTAAAAAAAATTTATACATTAAATTCCATAGGGGATTTTGTGGCTTTATAGAAGTGCGTTCAGTTAAAAAAACAAATCCAATCAATGTATTTGATAAACTCAACAGAATCAGCTCGCAAAAAGATGAGAAAGCCATTGAACGACTTCGATTATGAAAATATCGTAAAACTTTATTCAACAGTTTCTAGGACACATTGTAAATAATGACACGAGTGATAAGTTTGACGTGTAGTCGTGGTTGAAAGCAGTGTCGTCGACATTACCCGCCATTATCGTGTAATCGTTTCTCATCGTGCAAAGTTCTTTCACTAGCGTCTAGCGATCGACGTCTGTATCTCGGGTATTCATACTTTTTTCAGAGACTTTTTTCACGCGTCGTTTTGTGCCGAGTGTGCGCATCCTATTTTTTCACCAATAGTCGAAAAGCTGCCATAGCTAGATGGGAATGGAAATACAGAAAGAGACCATTCCATGAAACAAAAGAAGAGAAATTCTATCGAATGATTCTGGCGTGAAATATCAAAAGCTGAAAGCTCTTCGGCGAGGTACTTGATTATGGCGTTCAAACATGCAAACGCGTGGCAATCACGCATGCAAGAATGTTCGCCACTATCACTGATTTCAGCCAGCTCGTTTTTCCAACGACTAAACTCGTGTATTTGATTGGAACTTTATTATGCAGAGGCGTGCAAGCTCAATACTTGTCGACTCGACATCGCCAGTAGAGAAACTGCACGGCAAAATCACTGAACAGCGCGTATTTGTTCGTAGCAAATAAACGGTGAAAAATTGATTAACTAAGATACGAAATACGCGTTTAATTCTTACGTCGTCATTCATTTAAGCGTAACTTTTATTTGTTATCAATTAAGAGTAGAGTACAGACGAAATGCAGATAGGCTACAGTCATAGACATACAAAATTGTTTTGCAATAAATAGTTGTCTGATAAATCTAATACATTATATTGCATGTCCTGTAATGGACAATCTGTTTAACATCCGTGTATAGGTACTAAATTGAACGAAAGAACGTACAGCCCTAAAACCATATCGACGTATTCGAATTTCGACTGACAGGAAGGGATGGAGCCGCAATTTCAATCTCACGAGCGAAAAATAAAACAAATGACGATGGCGCCGATATCTGGGAATTGCCTGATTGAGAAATATAATTGCGGCTGCAATGTTCTCTTCCTCTCCGCGATTTCGGGGGCGCAATTCGTTTCCGATAAAGCACCCCGTCTGCCGCCGTAAAACTTCTAACAGAACAAGAAGTAACTCACTTATCTTCCACGATAAGTGTTTGTTCTATGTCCCAATTAATCTCACTTTAAACTTACTATGCACTCGTTGAGCAATGTCCTACAAATGTTCGTTTGACTACATCGACACAGCGATGCAAGGCATTCCATTTCACTTGTAAAACTGTTATTTTCCACACACGATTTATTTGATTGCTTTGTAAATATTACACGGACGAGCGATTTCATAATAGAAGCCATCAAATTACAGCGTCAAGATAAATATTTACAACGAAGTATTTGATAATATAAAGTTATTCAATATTTACTGCTTCATCCCCATATAAAATAGTCATGACCGGATGTTGTGAAGTTAAGATAAACGCTAAC